TCTGAACCTCTCAGGATCATCTTTATGAAAACCATAAAATTAACAAATAATCAGTCAGGAAATAAAATATTTGTTAAATCTTGCTATAAAACAAAATCCAATAATTGTCTTACCTCAACTTTAAGAACCATTAACGTTAATGGCTGGATTTTGGGACGCTGAATAATGAAAAAACAGATAAACTAAGTATTATTTCCTGTAACCTGGCTAGAAACTGTACTAGGCTGTTTTGAGTTAAAAACTGGTAGTTATTTTCCCAAAATAAAATAGATAAATAAAAAATGAAAGGAGGGATCTTGCATTTGGGATAGATTGTGCCTAAAGTTTAAAACCTGTGTAGAACCGATTTGACGAGTCAGAAAAATTGTGCATAGGAAATAGTCTAGATTTACCTTTGAGTCAATAAAGTTGACTAAATATTAGAAACCTTCGTTGATTTTGATTTGTAAAAGAGAAAGTTCTGTCCTTTCAACTCAATCAACATATTTAAGGAAAACGTTTGCTGTGCATTGTGGAGGCATGAACTTTACTGGGTGGGCCTGTCACAACCAGCTGCAAAGAATGTTTGGGTCTGACTTCTATACAAAGAGAACCTGGAAGCCCTCACCAAAAACTGTGACTTATAACATCAAGACGGGGAGCACTACAAGATGGACAAAGAGGCAGAAACTTATTTGCCCTGCTGCTGATGAAACAAAGTACAAAAGGGGGAGCATGTGTGCTAACATGTGAACTTTAATCAATGACGGTGGTCATCCTGGACTTACAAAGAGAGGCTCAAAAGAGACTGTTTCCTATGGTTACACCCAGTAAAAGAGTGCTTGCTGCAGTCAGGTAATGAACAAGGCTTTTTGGCAACAACCAGTTGAATTGATGAAATGTCAGAACTGTGGAAAATTTACTAAACTACTGTAGAACATAGTTAACTGAGAAAGTTAGCCTAAAAAAAGATAATAATAATATCAATAAATAAATAAATAATAGGATTAGTAACCTGGATTTCAGCCCAACTCACCATTGGACGTCAATATAATCTTTATTGTCCTAGGATTCTCAGCTGCAGCGGACATGCAGTAAAGCCTTATTTTCTTTTCAAAACGGAATACATCAGCGTCATCACTTATCTTCATTAGTTAAGGAAACGGTGTCTATTTATAAGTCTAGGAGAACGCTTTAGGCTTCAACAGTTCTCTCCTTCGAGCAAACATGCGCAAATTTCCGGATAGTTTATAGTAACGTTCCATCCCATTCCATTCATTGCATAAAAATAAACATTAAATGAATAATTTGGCATCCAGCTGACTAAATGATTCATGGAACATCTCATCCGAGACAACAGTGTTGTTTCAGCTCCGTTGAGTTTCCCAACAGATCTAGCCAAACCTAGCTGATCCTATATTTTTCTATCAGCTGTAAGTTCTAACGTAGAAAATAATGTCACAAAAATATTGAATAATTGTACCCCTCATTCGATAAAAATTATGTTCACATTTTTATCTTGTGAAATCTTTAACATAATATTTTTAATTGGCCTTTTTGACGACAATTGGCTAAAAAGTCTTTAAGATTATCATCACAGGATGGCATGATAAATAAGTAAATAACATAAATAAATAAATAGACAAAAATAAGAGAGAAAAAGCAAAATTAATTAAATGAAACGTAATAGTGATAAAAAGTTAAAGTGATCTAAAATCTGTCATTCAGCGCCACTGGAAAAAGGAAGAGGATAGGGGAGTATTTCTTAGCACAAATCACGTTATTGATTTAGCAATGCAGCTTAATTTCAGATGCTTTAAGGATGATACTAACTTGTGTTATAGATGGAGGAGTAGCACAGAAACACTTCTAGATGTGGAGATAAGGAAAAAAAACTGCTGATTACCAATACTATGCACAAACAAACCTGTAACTGCAGTTTCGTTATTTACAAATTAACCTTAAGTAGTGAATTAATTCTTAGGATTTCTTGTGCTAAGTGAGGTTCTTAAAAAAAAAAAAATAAAATAAAGAAGGTAAGAAAGACAAGTAGTTTAGGTAAGGGACAACCTGAAACTTTTTGGTTGAATTGATAGTAAAGTGATTGTCCTAATTTCTAATTGGAGAGATCACACCGCAACATGAGTTTAGAACGGCAGTTATGGGAAGTTTTGTTGGATTAATTTGATCACACGCTTTAGGTCTTATTTTTTTTCTTTCCACTGATTTAGCGTTAGGTTAAGTGTTTTCACACTTTCGCTTCAGTCTGACATTTGCTTGGTGTGTGGGGGCACAGAGACGTGTATGGACCGTGTGTTTGACTGTGTTTGTCTTGTTTGTTTGTTTATTTATCTATATGGGCGTGGCTGAGCCTTGAGAAACATCAACAAAGCCATTGGGCTATTCTGAGTAAATTGACCAATTCAACTTCAGGATCCTGAAACAATTTGGCTATAACCTCTAATTGATGAAGGACATCTTAAGAATTCATTGTACAAGGCATCATCTCCAGTGTTGCTGGAACTGTTATAAAACCCATGCATGGTTGTATATTTTAGTTTGATCATTTATACTCATTGAATTATTGTTGTTTGCTTTATGTTTTAATTTCTTTGCAATTTTTTCTCTGTGACACAGGTGGAGATGCTGGTGGCAAAATGGATCCCACACATTTCTTTCTCCCACACACATTCTTACTCTCTCCCTCTCTCTGTGTGTGTATGTGCATGTGTATGTGTTTGTGTGTCTGTGTGTGTCCATGTCGTGATGTCACTGTACCTTTAATTGCGCTTGCTGTTCGTAACTGTATGTGTCTGATGTTGAAGGTATCAGAGGCTAGGGTCAGTAAGAGCTAGGACATTTTTGTGCATAACCTCTAATCCCTAGGCGATCGGTCCGGGGAACTTCTGGTCCGGCCGGAGTGTGAATCTTCCTACCAACTATCTGCCGAGATCAAGGACTGCACAAGCCGAGAAAGCCTTCATTGGACCAAAACTGCACACACGAAGAGGCTTCATCTTCGGTGCCAGGCGTCTGGGTCCTGCTAAAAGTCACCAAAAGGAAGTGGACGGAACCGAGGTGGACCGAGCCATACAGGATCACGGAGAGGACGTCACACGCTGTCCGGCTGGACGGGAGGAGCCTAACCTGGAAGAGAAGCAGCTGACATCTGCCTAACCAGAGAAAGGATCCAAAAAACCAGGAAGAGAAGTAGCTGACTACAGTAGCATGCCAAGCTGCCACCACATCCTGCAGGACGAGAATCTTGACATCATCACCCCCTGCAGCTGCCTGGAGCCAGTGAAGGGTCCTCAACAGGGGGAAGAAGTAACCACCCTATGAACATTCTACAAGGGTTGTATTTAACACCCTCATTTATTTTAACAAGGGTAATATTTTACACCCTCCACCTGCTGACCCAATTATCCAGATGCCCTTGTTACTAGCCAATCCTAACATCTATTTGGGAGGGGAACTCTCTGATGATAGTGATGACTCTCATGATGAAGAAGATGTTGTTAGAGTGTGAGAATGTTCAGTGATTTATGTAACCATCCCTTCACCAGTTCATTTTTATGATTTTTTTGTTTGTTTTGTTTTATTTTTTGTTGATCATTGATGTCCTAGGCATGCACACTCTATGCCAACAGGTGTTCGCCCCAAAATTGAGATATGACAAATGGGGGGACATGGGGGAATTTTCCCTATAAACATATGATAATTAGGGTTTTTCGCCCTCATATGGAGTTGCATGCGATCCATACATGTTGTAACATGTTCAGTTGAAAGTATGATCATGTTTTTTTGTATTAGTTTACTGCTGGAAATATGAGAAGCTGTAATCTGATGGATTGTTTGTATTTGTATTTTAAAACTTTTCTTATTGGATTCTTTTTGATGGAATTTGGTGTTATTGTTTTGATTTCTTATATCTTTATTGAACTCTTAAAAGAGTTCAAAAGGGGGATTGAAAATATATATCTCTCATATAAGCTCTTTCATATATTATTATAAGCTCTTTTATATGATTAAATATGTATCTCTCACTTTTGCCCCTTATATATTATCATAAATACATTATTATATGCCTTTTCATGGAATCTTGTTATAATATCAAAGACCTCTCTGTGCCTTTTCTGCTCAAGCTGAACAGCTGCATAAGGGAGTGAAAGCGTTCCTTCCTTCAGTTCCTCAATACAAGAACAACTGTCTTTGTTAGCAAAGGATGTTGCAGGATGTGTCCTGATCATCTCAAGGTTGCATGTCCTTGGGATGAATTGGTCTTTCATTAACAAGGCTATTAGCTGACGTGCGTCTGCAGGTGCAGATGGCAGAATTACGTGTGTGTATGGCAAACTATGTATGTAACATTCCTGTAATCTTCAATAAAAATCAGCCGTTTTCAGCAGAACGGCGAGAGTCTGTCCGAAGCATCTGGCAAGAGCAGGTCGCGGGACTTGCTGCAGAGACTCTCCCCCTCATGAGCGGCGAAACAGTGAATGGACTTCTGATCATTTGTCTCCTCGTTCTGACAACTTTAAAGGTGTTTAACTCCATCTACTCCGTACCCGTGCTTGGTCTAACGGAAGAGAGACCAACATGTGTTATTTGGTTATTCCACATTCAGTGTTAATGCAAAAATAAGTTTGTTTCCAAATTAAAAGGTTCTAAATATGTTGATAAAGAAAATGTGCAAATTTGCCGTCACTTTTTAAAAAAATATTAAGTTTGGCCCGCGACTTCGTCCCAGATTTTCATTTCGGCCCGGTGTGAATTTGAGTTTGACACCCCTGCCTTAGACCATGCAACTGCAGCATATTTCAGTTGCTACAATAGCAACAAACATCTATGGCTTAATAATGTGCAAAAATGTATAAATAGCTGTTTCCAGTCATGTTTGAGGAAAGCACAACTAAGATGTAAATGGTTAGAAAAATGATTTAATATGCATAGTAGTTTGTCTGAGGTGTTGCATTATCAATCCGCTTGGACTGGAGCATTTTTAAATTTTTTTTATTTAAAAAAAAAAGGACAAATAAACCTCATGGAGCCTATTATTCAAGTGTTCAAGCTAGAGCAAATCAACAATTAAGGACAATTAAAACCAAAAGACCATACTGTGTGTGTGTGCGTTATTATTATTAATTTGCCTAATAATAGTTAAATTAAGTCCGTGCATTCCACTATGAAATACAAGGTTCAGAAATTAGCCTTTAAATCAAGTTCTAGAAGTGAAAAAAGATCTGAATGAGGTTGCAAAAAGAATTGTGTGTCAGTGTCTATCTCAAGCATTATAATGGCATGGCAGATTATTGCTCTTCAAACTATTCATGTCAGATCACATGACTTAGTTTCAGACTGTTTTTAGAGGGGTCAACCTCAAGAACCACATTTTGTTTTGACTGTGAACCACGTCATAAAACACGATAGCTGCTGCACAAACTCTAGGAGCACCATTATCCCCAATACCACTTGTTAAGATCATTGATTGCCTTGTACTCCTTGTGCTTTTGCAAGTATTCACACGCATGGCACGTGTGCATTGACCAGGAACCATAATTGTGTGATTTAAAGTTCTGCCTCCACTTAAAAAATCCCAGATACATTTGTTCATTCTTGTTTGCGATCAGCAGGTACTCCGCCAGCTCCTTGGGTGATTTAAAGTCATCCACGTGAATGAAGGAATCTCCTTGAATAAAGTTTTCATAGTTCTGTCTGGATGTCCCAAGAACTACTGGCACTGTTCCCACAGCAAGTGGATTGTACATTTTTTCAGTAATGTAATCTTTGTGGATGGAGTTCTCAAAAGACAAATAAAACTTACAGCTGGTCATGATGGACATGTAATCTTCACCAGAAATTTTGTTCCTAAAGGCTTGTCCATATGTGTGAATCTCAATGTGTTTGTGCAATTCATTGAAATACTGAACCCGGCGATGTCCCGGGTTCCAGTTACTCACAATCCAGCAGACCAATTTGTCTTTTTTGGGGGGTACAAAGTTCTCTGCAGTTTTGGTTGGAACAATGATGCCATAAGTTCCTTTAATGTCAGAATCCTGACGGTAGTTGAGAGTCACGTTGAATAAATTATTGATTCCAGAAAGCTGGGGTGAATGTGACGGGGACTCTAAGTTCATCCATATCCACTTCTGGAATGGTGGCCGTTGCTGTTGTGGCAGATTGGAGAGGTCCCTGGCGATGTCTCGGTGGTGAAAGATGACTCCATGTGATCTGTTGTACAAGTTTTTGTCTGCTGTGATGAAACAGTCCTTGATGTTGAAGGCAGAGCTGCAATTATCCAGTTTGAAAGTCTGTCCAAATGGCCAATGCCAAACCAGTACAATGGTCAGGCTTGTATTGGTTTTTGGAACTCTCTTGGCTCCATTTTTTAAAGACGTTGGCTCCACTTGATTATATGAAAAATTGCTGGATGGTTTTACATATAACATAAATATAATTATGAAGACCATGACAATGAACACAGTGGTGAAAAGGGGTCGCAGGATTTTGTTAGTCGTAGTAGTTGTCATACTCTGACCTGGAAAGGGCACATAAAAGAGAAAAGCCAGGATGAAGTCATTGTTAAAACGATTGAGCATCAGCATATTAATGATAAATGACCCACACTTGTATGGCGCCTCTCAGAGTAAGGACTCCAAAGGGCTTTACACTAAAGTGTATCATTCATCCATTCACACACACACATTCACACACTGATGGTGATGAGCTATGATGTAGCCACAGCTGCCATGGGGCGCACTGACAGAGGTGAGGCAGCTGAGCACTGGCGCCACCGGTCCCTCCGACCACCATCAGCAGGCAAGGTGGGTTAGGTGTCTTGCCTAAGGACACATCCCGGAGCTGGGCTCGAACCTGCAACCTTTTGATTACTGGACAACCCGCTCAACCTGTTGAGCTACTGCTGCCCCTTCTTTTAGACAACTAGTTGAAATAAAATCAATGCCCCATTTAAATAGAGCTATTCTGAATTAATACCACATTTGGCATCAACTTTTTTGACTTGGGCTTTTCTTTGTCAAGAGCAGATAGAGGTTCTTAAGTTTATTTAGGAAAAGGATGTATTTGCAACTTCTTTGATGGACTGCTTCATTGACTGACATCCATAGTGGTGAGTACGTCACATTATTCGTTATCAAATAGCATGGAGGTGACAGTTTAAAAGACAACCATAGATCCTGACCTACGGCTCAGAGCCATCAATGGTAAGTGGCCAGACTATATATTCACACACACACACACACACACACACACACACACACACACACACACACACACACACACACACACACACACACACACACACAGAGAGAGAGAGAGAGAGAGATAGGTATATAGTTTATAAATGGGAAGATTGTTACTGAGATATGATAATAATAACAAGAAAGTTTACAACTTAAATCAGTGGCTAATACCAACAATAATAACATCCTGATTATTTGTACATTATATTTTAGTATATATAAACTGAGCTAATCTGTTAACTCTAATTACATTTCCATCTGATATTATCACAGAAAAATGTGTATTTTTTCTGTTTATTTTAATATCACATGAGTAATAATAAATAAAATGTTAAAAATAAATTATGATACATTCTTGATTGTCTAATTTCTCTTTATGAATATAAAAAAGAATGAGTGTTGGACAATTGATGTCCTTTGAACTACTTGCATGCCATTAAGTGGCATGATCTTACTAACACGCTAAGGGGGGTAAATTAAAGAGCAAGTCAACCCCTACCAGAGTCTTACTCAACTCCCACTTCCTGTTTGAAAAGTGAAACAAATGCTGTCGCCTGGCAGACCGAGAGGGGGGAGCCGCTAACAAATACACACACACAAGCTCACAATGACATTGTGACATCAAATGGTACCAGCCAACATCATAGTGTACCAATTAGCCAATAGCAAAGGCAGATTTAAATTCAAATGCAGTGCAGAGTTTTTACCTGACGATGGCACAACAATGACAGTTTTAGGCAGAATATTTAAAGTTTTACGAAAGTGCATTGAAGTGTCAAATAATTGACTATGAGTGTCTGCAGCATGATTAGACACTCATTTATATAGTTTATCAGCAAAAAAATTTATTTGGGGTGACTTGCTCTTTAAAAGTTTAATTTATTTTTACAGTTTAGTGTTGCACCATGCAAATGAACATGTATACAGTGGTGAAGAACATTTTTTAAAACTCGTACATTGAGTAGAAGGAGTCACCGCTCGTCTGGGAAAGGTGCTGGATCAAAAATTGGAATAAACAAAATAAGAATCCGCACACTTCAATCTGCAATGTAGGAGTTTATTGGTCAAGCTTTCAGTCAGAAACCTTCATCAGGAATGAATGAAGGTCTCTGACCGAAAGCTTGACCAGTAAACTCCTACATCGCAGATTGAAGTGTGCGGATTCTTATTTTGTTTAAAACTAATACATTCCAATTTAAAACTAAAAAGAGATTTATGTTTGTGACTGGTTATGGTCTATGAAGAGGTACTGGTTAAAAGGTCATTCTTCCTTCTTACAGAGGCACATGCTGCTCAATTGGTTTAACAGAAAACCATCAAACAAAGTTTTGTAACAGGTAATAGAGATGAGCGTCCAAGAAAATGAAATTTGATACATTTTCTCGTCCACATTGAGCAGAATTAAACCTACAGCTTAATTTCCCCAAAATACTTTTTAAACAGCAGACAATGATCCAGACAATAAAAAAATTGTTCAATGTTCAAGATTTGTTTTTTACAATCCTAGTGGAGAAACATCCATATTAAAGTCATATTACACATAAAATGTTCATTAGGTCAAATGTTCTACACATTATCATTTAGATGTATATTGTGTTTGTTAATACAAGTGGACTTTATTTCAGTAATTCAACTTAGACTGAGAGACCATCTAAAGGCTCAGGAACCCACTTTAAAATATCTGGCTTTGCATATAACGAGTCTGTGTCATATTATAGTTTCACCTTTTAAGTTGAATTGCTGAAACAAATAATTTTTTGAGCTTCACCAATCATTATAAAAATAATTTATCTTTGCCAGCCAAAGAGTGAAAAAAAGCTTTTTTTTAACTTAGTTTTTATTTTTCCAAAAGGAGGAAATAAAAAAAGTTGACAAGGAAAAACTGGGAGCTTATGTTATTTCTTTTCTTCATATTTAGTTAGGAGCTTCATTGCAACATAAATTAAAAAAGTTATCTGTGTGTCAGCTTGATTTATTTTAAATACTGTTTCTAATAAAGCTGCAGGAATCTAGACAATTTGAATCCAGGCAAAGAATACAGTCACACTAAATGCAAAGGTCAAAGGCTGTTCAGACCAGCTCTGAACTGCATCTGTCTACTCTGTATACACACAAAAGTTTAGATGCAGGAATGGCTTAATCGGAATATTTTTATGCTCATTCCCACTGCTGTCCACACCCTAGAGGAAACAAATCCATTAAAGGCGGAGGTTCTTCGTAAGAATTAACCTTTACACAGTGTTTGCTCATGACCTTGCTGCGGAGATGACGGAAACAGTCATACTTCCTCCTTGAAAATGGTCCACTTTGCTTATTTTTGTATTATGTCTCGTCAACAGTTGTACAAAAATGAAGGTTAGACATCTCTTCTTTTATTATGTAATTTAACATGTTCTAGTGAAGGGCTCTTTATTCTTAACCTTTAGCATAAATGATACTGTTCATCAAAACACATGAAAATGTCTTTGGAGCAGGTTTGGTTAGGTACTCATCTGAACAGGAACAGAAAGAATATTTTTTTTATAAATTATTTACAACAGACATGATGACTTTGTGAAAACAAGATGATGATGAAAACAGATGATGAGGAAAAAAACATGATGACTTTGTGAAGCATCATGTTTCAACAAAATCATGTTTTCTGCATCCCCACCTCCTGCTCGCCATATGGTTTGTTCCAGTTTTCTTTATGAGTTTACAGATAGCAAATTTTCCGCTGCTTTTGATCCACCCTGGTCTTCCGGTAACGACAGACAATGATCCAGACAATAAAAAAATTGTTCAACGTTCAAGATTATTTTTTTTTTACAATCCTAGTGGAGAAACATCAATATTAAAGTCATATTACACATAAAATGTTCAATAGGTCAAATGTTCTACACGTTATCATTTAGATGTATATTGTGTTTGTTAATACAAGTGGACTTTATTTCAGTAATTCAACTCAGACTGAGAGACCATCTAAAGGCTCAGGAACCCTTTGCAGGTGTTTTTGATTAATTGATCTGATTAGAGTGTGACACGTTGATTATATTGAATCTTTTTCACAATGTTCTAAATGTAAAATTTTGAATTTGGGGTTTTCCTAAGCTGTAAGCCATAATTATCACAAATATAACAAATAAAGGTTTAAAATATCTGGCTTTACATATAATGAGTCTGTGTCATATTATAGTTTCACCTTTTAAGTTGAATTGCTGAAACAAACTTTTTTGAGCTTCACCAATCATTGTAAAAATAATTTATCTTTGCCAGCCAAAGTGTGAAAAAAAGATTTTTTTTTACTTAGTTTTTATTTTTCCAAAAGGAGGAAATAAAAAAAGTTGACAAGGAAAAACTGGGAGCTTATGTTATTTCTTTTCTTCATATTTAATTAGGAGCGTCATTGCAACATAAATTAAAAATGTTATCTGTGTGTCAGCTCGATTTATTTTAAATACTGTTTCTAATAAAGCTGCAGGCATGTAGACAATTTGAATCTAGGCAAAGAATACAGTCACACTAAATGCAAAGGTCAAAGGTTGTTCAGACCAGCTCTGAACTGCATCTGTCTACTCTATACATACAAAAGTTTATCTTACCTTCTTCAGATCTCACAAATGAAAAAGAAAAGATGAATGCCTTCTTTTAAATAAAGTATTTTGAGTCATTTGATGCTCTTGATATGCCTTTTGTGCACAAGATTCAGGAATCGCTTTGTCTGAATATTTTTATGCTCATTCTTACTGCTGTCCACACCCTAGAGGAAACAAATCCATTAAAGGCGGAGCTTCTTTGTAAGAATTTACCTTTACACAGTGTTTGCTCATGACCTTGCTGCGGAGATGACAGAAACATTCATACTTCCTCCTTGAAAATGGTCCACTCTGCTTATTTTTGTATTATGTCTCATCAACAGTTGTACAAAAACAAAGGTTAGACATCTCTTGTTTTATTATGTAATTTAACATGTTCTAGTGAAGGGCTCTTTATTCATAAACTTTAGCATAAATGATACTGTTCATCACAACACATGAAAATGTTTTTGGAACATGTTTGGTTAGGTACTCGTCTGAACAGGAACAGCAGGAATCTTTTTTTTTTAAATAAATTATTTAGAACAGACATGATGACTTTGTGAAAACAAGAGGCTGTTCATAGTGCAATAGTTAATCATTGATGAGATTACCATTTTTAATCATTTGACAAAACAAAACGCTTCAGCGCTTTGAGCTTCCTGACAGGGTTGCGGAAGGCGCTTTATAAATAAAGCTTTGATTGATTGATTGATTGATTGATTGATTGATTGAAAACAATGGTAAAAATAACAATGGTTAAGTAATGGCTGAAAACGCTGGGCAGCAATGTAAGTGGTGAAGTTTAGTAAAATTACATTCGATTTCCAAACTTGATGCTTAAAATTTTTGTAGTTTTGATCTAACGCAGCTCTTACAGCACAACGTTACCAGGATACATGAGTTTTCTCAATAACAACCCTAAATCGTACCCAACAAACCCATCCCTTGAGTCGCCTAAAAACCCACCTCCTCCGCTTGGCGTTTCCTGAACATGTTTGAATTTGTCCCTCTTTTATGTTGATTTTATCTCAGTTTTCATTGGCTCACTTTTTCCCTTGTTTTATACATTTGTCTTCTACTAGAATGTTTCACCTTTTTTGTAATTTGTAATCTGTAATTTGAATTGCTTTTATTTTCTGATTTATTCACTTTCTTTAACTTTGTACTGTACCATGTTCAGCACCTTGGGCTTCCTGACAGGGTTGCGGAAGGCGCTTTATAAATAAAGCTTTGATTTGATCCTTTTGTATTTACTGACTGATTTTGTGTCCTATACCAACCTGTTAGGGCTTAATATGATACCAGCTCTTTGCTGGGCTGGAGGAAAATACTTTAAGCAGTCACTTTATCAAACGTCATTTAGTGCTTGTGAAAGTGAAAATGAAAAATGTGAAAGAAATAAAGTTGCAATTATATGGCGTCAGAATCCCGCCAAAACCCATGTACGCATACTGTCCACATTGCGCGTGCGAACGGGGCTCGCGCATGGAAGTTAGAACCTCTCGAGTGAAAATATACATGGCGAGGAGGTCATTTGTACACTGAGAGGGAGCAAACTGTGTCTGTGAGCGCACAAGGATGTGCACAAGTGACAAACCTGCGTGCGCACGTTGGTCAACGAGCACACGGCAGAGGAAAACATGCGCACGGCAGCCTCACTGCGCGTGTGGCAGCCTTTCTGCGCGCTCGGTTTCTGATTCTGCTCGCTCGGCTGTTGGGAGTTTTGGCACTCTGGAGGCGTGGAAGAATTAAAGTGCCAGAAATTGAGCACTTGAACTTTCAATTTGAGAGCAGAATTTCATATCAAGAGATCGACTTTTTAATTTGAGAATAAGATTTTATATTATTGCTCTCAAAACTTGTAATGCGTGCACTCAAAATGTCTGCTCTCTTTCAAGTTCACTCTGTTCTCCTTCAAATCTTTGTTTCTGCGTTCAGATTTAACCTTCTTACAATGGTATTGTCTTCTCACGTGACAGCTTTTTCTATGCACGGAACAAAACTCCTCCCACAAATCTGTCCCCTGCTCTCACGGATTTTGACTGCTCTTGGCTCTTGCTCAAAACTTGGAAGTACAATCTCCTAGAACCGCTCAGCCAATAGAAAGACTTGTGGGACTGGGCGGGAACAAACCTCTTTGAGGTGCGCTCGTTTTGACCAAGCCCCCACAATGCGGGTGAAAAATTGAAGCAAACCCGGAAATGAAATAAATTGCAGTTCCACCCTCATCCGCTGGGGGCTGGTGTCAGAAGCGAGCAAATCCTCATTGACTCCCATGTTAAAAATACCAGTTTCACAGCAGAAATAAACATGTTTACAGCCTGGTTCCAAAACATGTTTTTTGTTTAAATTATCTAGTTTACACTCATGACAAGTCTGAGGGGGGTGAATTTTTTTCTCACTCTTCTGTTTAAGTGTATTATAAGCATAAAATTCTGTATAATTAATGAGCATCAGACCCATGTGACCACAGAGGCCGTGGAAAGGCCTCGGTAGAGCCTCGGTCTGGCTTGGAAACTGTTCCGGGATTTTGAGTCTCTGTGTTTGTGTATTCTTTTTTGGATATTTTTTGTGCAATTGTTGGACAAAATGACTTGCTGTGGCATTAATTGCACTAATAGAGCGTCCAAGGAGTCTCCACTTCATTTTATCGGTAAGTAAAATTATATTTACCGTATGTATTTTAGGTCACTGCCGAGCTGAGCTTAGATTTTAACATGTACTGTTTAACCATGAAATTTAAATGTAATAGGGTAAAACCCAGTGCATTTAACATAATGCTGCACTTTAGAAAATGGGTTGAAATATAACATGTTGGTGGAGCTGGGTTCCGACTATCGGCTTTTTGGAGCTCTCGGGAGACCGATGTTTTCCACCCGGTTCTCCCCTTCCCGCAGCTCGGCGTATCTCTGGCTGATCGCGGCTTCTGTCTGCTGCGCGGGCTGATGGCTGGGTCTCCCGGCAGCTCGGCGCATCTCTGTCTGATCGCGGCTTCTGTCTGCTGCGCGGGCTGTCTGCTTGTGGAGCTCTGGAGGGAATCCGATGTTTTCCACCCGGTTCTCCCCACACCTCGGCGCATCTCTGTCTGATCGCGGCTTCTGTCTGCTGCGTGGGCTGCCGGCTTGTGGAGCTCTGGGATGGAAACCTTTCCACCCGGTTCACCCCAGCGGAAGCTCTGGTGTTGTGCACAGTTAACTCCAATTGTAGCTAGGTTGCTACCTCCGTTAGCTTAGCTCCCACCTCCGTGTTAGCTTCAGGTTAGCTTGTGGCTAGTTCGACCGGGTGTCGTCAGTTGATCCCAGCCTTACAGCCCCACCCTCAGCTCCACCTCTCTTCCCTTTTGTGGAATTGTCTGAGCTTGATGGAACCTGTGACACAGTCAAAATGGCGGTGGTGGCCACCTCCCATTTATCTTCAAAAATGTGTTATTGGAGCCTATGGAAACCCATTGTCCAATATTTATATGTCGATGGTTTTGACGCTCTTTGGATTTTCCTGTGTGGCTGCCGCATCTGCGCACTAACAGCCTGGCTAAAACTCGCCGGCTCTGATCTGGAGCGGGAGTTTCACCTGCACCAGCAAAATGGACCAGAACCAACAAGACGCTCAAGTAAGTTATTTTTCAAGGCTACTAGCTGCAGTTTATTCCATAAAATTGTTTTGTTATGCTACTTTTTACGACTCCTCGCATTTAATATTACAACAAGGGCACAGCTAGGTGGATTAGGGTCCTACATGGAATAAAATGGCCGGTGTTTCATCCAGGAGCTGGGATCGAGTTATGAGGGGCTAGATTTCTGTCAGGGAAAGATCCAGAAATTTTTTCAAGTGCCGTATTCCCCAGAGTTGGATAAGTGAATGAAAAGGATCGTTTTAACCAGCGCAGTAATTCTTACCTGCCAGCAGTCTGTCTGCTTTAGATTAGAATAAACAATGTAAGTTAATGGGAGGTAGTAGCATTTTGTGTTTAAAACTGTGTAAAATTGCTATATTATGGTACCAATTATTCCTGTTGAGCTCAATAATCATGTTGACTGCAAATGAAAAGTAAGAAGTAACACATTTGCAGGAGCCAATTTAGACAGTAGACAAATTTTCACTTAGAGTGGAATATCCCTTTAAATCAAACTTAAAACATGCACGTAAGCAATATACAGAATATTTTAATTACATTTCATGTTTATCATTAATGTTTACTTAAGGCTGATTGCTGGTCACTGATTTTAAAAAATGTCATTAATAGGTTTCCTGTCCATTGTGTGATAAAGTATTTACTCAGGAGTCTATACAATTGCATGCCAGCTTTTGTGGTGAAGAGGAGGAAGAGGACAGGTACATTTTACAGGGTATCTGCAGGTTTAAGGGAGCCAAATGTAAGACTTTTAAAGACCTTTTTTAAGGCCACTTTGACCAAATTTAAGCTCGTCGTCGTCTTCCTCCGCTTATCCAGGTCTGGGTCGCGGGGGCAGCATCCCAACTAGAGAGCTCCAGACCGTCCTCTCCCCAGCCACCTCCACCAGCTCCTCCGGCAGGACCCCAAGGCGTTCCCGGAACAGATTGGAGATGTAACCTCTCCATCCAGGAGGCATCCTGACCAGATGCCCAAACCACCTCAACTGACTCTTTTCGATCCGGATCCAAATTTAAGCTATAATTTCCAATTATTGCCTGGAATGGGTGCTAACCACGTCGCAAACGTGGGATTAACCATCCATTTACCATTAAACTTGCACTTCTCCATGGCGCAAGCTCCCACTAGCTTAACCAGCTAATGTGCTCATCTAAAAATAGTCCCCTTTCATAACCAACTGAATGTGTACGGTTCCGCTTACGCCAACATTGCACACAAAAAATGCTGACCACTAACTAGAAATTCACGAAAATGTCATAGACATAAAATAATCTAGTTCATTGGGTCTTTGGTAATTTAAGACCTTTGGAAACTGTATTTAAGGATTATTTGTAATTTTTAAGGATTTTCAAGGCCTTAAATTTGGAAAAGTAAATTTAAGACTTTTTAAGGACCCGCGGATACCCTGATCTTAGGTGTGTTCTTGCTGTGTCGTATCTCTAATTCCATGCTGTAGTTCTTTTTTAAAACACAGAGCAGTTTTGTTTACCTGTTTTCCCGCTACGTTTTCGCAAACTTCCTCAGGCTGACG